AAACTTCCATATGCCTTACAGCATGATAAGAGAGAAAAGAAACTGAGAAAAAGGGCTACGGGTTGAAAAGCTATAGGTCTGCTTTCCTCCTAAAATCTTGGAAGTAAAGAGCCCTGGTTCCAAGCAAGCCTGAACTATTGGTCTTCTTCAGCCACGACACTATCAGAGCACCAGTTTACAGTGGGCAGCTGAGGACTTGCTACACAGGAAAACCCATTCTGGGAACATGGCAATACATGCTTTTCTTGCCCTTACCACTCAGCTGTTTTGAATTACCGGTGTAACTCCCTCTGCTCGAAGCACAGGAGTGAGCCCACTGCCCCTGCACCCTGTGCAAGGGCCTTTCCTCAAGAGTTTCTAACGCCACCGTTTCTGGCTCTGGGGCTGACAATCTAATGGAATTACCTCCAATGTTGGGCAATCATAGCTCAGAGACTTAATGTATAGGCTCCTATATCACATAATCTATAGCTTGGGGAATGATTTGATATATAATATGCTCTACAAAATTATAAATGTGTGCAAATTTATTTAAGTTTTAAAAAATATTATTGGCTGAATATGGTGGTGCAGCCTTTAGTGCCAGCAGTTGAGAGGCAGAGGCAGGTATCCTCTGTGAGTTCAAGGCCAGCCTAGTCTAGACAGCAAGTTCTAGACTAGTAAGGGCTACATAGTGAGACCCTGTCTTTAAAAAGAAATCTTTTTATTATTCTGTATGTGTGTGAATGCAGGTGAGTATGTGTGTGGAACTTAGAAGTCAACTTTCAGGAGTGTGCTCTCACCTCTCATATTGTTGAGGGAAAATCTTTCTTGCTATTGCTGCCATACAGCTTACTCCAGACTAGCCAGCCTTCCAGAGGTCTAGAGTTATAGGTGCCCCCCACCCTATGCACCCAGCATGTTTTTTAAAAATGTGGGTCCTCAGGCTTGTGCAGCCAATACTTTTACATACTGATTGATTTCACTGGCCCCAAATGTATGTATTCACACAAACACACACACACACACACACACAGGAGAGAGAGGGGGGGTATTATGAATTCCAGTTCGTTTATTTTCTTAAAAAAAATCACTTGCAGCTATGTTTCTGTACCTATTCCTTCTGTCAGACCATTTCAACCTGCTCTTTTCTTGGAACCATGGAAAGGATTGGGGGTGGGGTGGGCGCTGGGAAGCTGAGGCAGGAAGATTACAAATTTCAAGCAGTCCAAAGTGGTATCTGTCTCAAATAGAAGTGAATAGAACCCCATTTACATGATGTATGGAAGATACTGAGTTTAATAGAAGCTTGAACGACCTTTTTTATTTTAGTGTGCCTTTTCTCTACAGATCTATAGATTATAGATCAGAACCAAGCATGGTAGCTGTTTGCTGTGTAGAAGCAGGATGGCCACTTAACTCTATAGCTTCAGATGCAGCCTAGGCAATATAGGAAATTCTTACCTAAAAGTCATTAATCAGATTAAATTCTGGCCACGCTTTGATACCTATAATAGTTATTACAGACCTAGGGTTATCTAATCTTTTATTGTTTGCTACCTTTTTAGTAAAAGTTCCAACTATACATGAAATTGGTAAGTTTATAAACCCACTATTTAAAATTTATTTCCTCATGATTATGTTACCTGTAGTAAAATCAGTAATGGTTTTCCAAAGCTCTGACTTATGATTCACAAGTTATTCATTTTATGGAGCCATTCATCACATCAACATTCATTCTGTTAAAATTGTCATTTTCAACTCGTATGTTATGAAAATGGAAAACTTGTTCTCTCGAAGAAAATCTCTTGTATCATTTTAGTTTTAAACTTCAGGACTCCCAGAAGAGCTTGAGAAGATCAGAAATGTGCAGCAACCACATTCCTTCAGAGAGAAAGCAATGGACTATTTTCTCCAATAGGTTAGTGTTGGTATATTTTTTTAAATTTGTTTTCACTATTTGAGGTGGGCATTGAGGGTAGTCTTTTAGCTTTAAAACAGCAATGAACTCTGTCAAGTCTCTTTGTTCTGGGGTTAATTCTTTTAAACTATTGTATAGGAGTGGGCAGACCTCTGCCTAGAAACATATTTAAGGGGAGTTATTTAGACTCTGACTTTTTATCTTCCATGAATTCAGTGGATGGAGAATACAAACAGCAGCCCTTCTGTATACAGCACCTTTGATATCGATCATACTTTATTATTTGTTTTTGTATGTTGATTTTCCAACCTGAACTAAAAGTATAGTTTAAATGAAGCTGGGGTAGGGGAGGGAGGAGAGAAAATACAATTGCACCAGGGACTGTGGATATGACTGTCATAGCAGTGAAGGGTGACAGACTGGCTTCCTTAAATATTCATTTAATCTGTATTTCCTGGACATACTTTTCTGTTCTCAAAATGGATACTAGTTATAGCTCAAGAGGAAAACAGCTCCAAAATAAAGCAAACCATATTTACGACTTTCGACCGACCCATCAGTGTCTTCTGTCTGTCCCTGGGACTGTTAGCTCCACTTGCAGGTACACTGTGTAAAGCCGTTGTGTTCTCAGAGCTGTGATTTCGTTCTGGAAACCATAAAACTTGAGTCTAGGTTTTGGTGGATAATCTGAACGTCCCAGTTTTCTTACAAATTTATGGTTTGATATCCTGGCATGAGCAGCTGCTTTACATCTATTTATCCAGAGGTTTGTTAATTCCATACCGTTAGCTTTTAATTGGTGAAACGTGGCTTTATGAATACAAACATCTTTTTCCTTTCATCCTCTTGAATTTTCCTTGAAACGTATAGATTCCTTTTTATGCTTTTAAGTGTTTCACCCATCTAGACTACTGGTAGCCGGGTTCGGTGGCTCATGCCTTTAATCCCAGCCCTTGGGAGGCAGAGGCAGGCAGATCTCTTGTGAGTTCAAGGCCAGCTTAGTCTATAGAGTGAGTTCCAGAACAGCCTGGACTATCTATGCAGAGACCCTGTCTCAAAAAGCCAAACCAAATAACAACAAAAAACACTTGTAAACTCCCCTAGTGTGTAACAGATTGAGAGTGGGTCTTTTTTCTGGGAAGCATGGGGTAAGAAATTCGGGTTGAATCTGAAGATGGCCCTGACCCTCCCCCGCCCCCTTCTTGGCCCCCATCCTTCATGAGGATTTAAAAGAGTTAAGGAAAGAGTAGAAACCATTACTGTTTCCAACAGAATATCAGAGTTTTGGGAATTTGGGGTATCTGTGTGTGAGTGTTCATTAGCAATCCAATATGTCTGATTTGCTCACACAATCACTTTCAACTTCTTTACTCGGTTGTCCTGGAAGAAAGAGGAAGCAGATTTTGCTCAGCTGCAAGGTTTCCTGATGAGTTGGTTAGTAAGAAGGCTTGCCAGTCAGGGTTCACACAGCAAAGAGTAAACACATTTAGACAATTACTAGTGTGTTGACTTCCTCGCTATGCAGTTTTCTGTTTTATTGTCTTGAATCATTTTCTCCCCCGCTTGTTACTCAACTTTTTATTTGTGTGTTATTCTTGCCTTCCATTATCTTGAGAGCGGAAATTTTCTACATTTCCTCCTTGCTGGTTAGCTACAAAGAACAGGTAAGGAGGAAGTTTATCTGAAGGGAGAGAGGTGCCACACAAAATAACGTCTCTCCCTTCCTTACAAAGCCGTGGCTCCTTACGCACCAATTAAGGAACAGGCTAAAGCGTCTCCAAGTATCAATCTCACTGGAAAGTTCTAAGACTGGTCTCGGGGCAATGTCTTTGCTTGTCACGGTGAGTACAGACGGGACGCGGGGATCGTAAGAGAAACGCAGCTGCAACTTGAACTGAGGACGCCTGGAAAAGGCGCCTCTCACAGTCGCTAGGAGCCTGCAGATCGCACGCACCTGGCGACCGACACGGCAGGCCGGAGGCGGCGCGTCTCCGAGGACGCGGCCCGGGCGCGCACTGCAGGAGGGCCAGACCCAGCGGCTCCAGGCTGGCCCCGGCCAGCTGCGGCCCCGCGCGCTCGGCCTCCTCGGGACACCTGCCCCGAGTAAAAGTATACTTATGGCCGTCGCCGTGCACGCGAACTCGCTCGCTCCACACCCCCAGAGCGCGCTCGTCCCCAGCTTGGAAGCAGGCCCCTCCCCGCGCAGCTGTCGCCACCGCCTGCGGGCTCCTTTCACTTTCTCACGGCCAAGTCACCCAGAGGGGAGCCGCTGCCGCCGCCACTGCCGCCGCCGCGGCCGCCGCGGTCCGCGAGCTCCGCCCTTCCCCGAAAAAGACCACGCCCACCCAACAGTCGCCGCCTGCGATTGGCGCGCGCAGGCGGCAGCTCCTGACTGCCACTCCTATTGGTCGAGCTCCCCCGTCAGTCCCGCTGCTTCTCCGCCCTCCCGGAACACCGCTCTCCTACTGGGCGCCACCGATGCCGGAGGCGGGCCAGGGACCGGGGCCCGCCGCTTTCGCTCAATAGCTGAGCGGCCGGCGCGGGGCGGCCCGGCCGGGCGGGGCCACATCTGGGC